AGGAGGGCCGAGGTATACATATATATATATATATAGACACGCGAATAGAATAGCTGGGAGAACGATCGGTCACTTGAAATTTTGCGATCCTCGCGATTGCGTCGTAAAATTCCGCAACAGTGATCCCCCATTCGAAAACACCTTTTTTTCATCACACCGATTCTCCAAGATTAGACTTTGATTTCGACGGACCTTACATTTTGTTCGAAAATCTGCGCCTAACATTCCGATAGAATATATATTATAAAATATATACAATTTTTTTATTTAAAATTTATTTTTATGTATATATTATATATATATATATATATATATATATATATATGTGTTAATTATATTATATATACACAGAGAATTTTCTCTTGGAATTTATCCTGAAAAACATCGTGAGACAATATAATATTGGAAGAATTTTATAAAAATTTCTCTGATTAATATTTACCACAATAACAATATTAATATCTACCACAATAAGATATAAAATATGTTTGATTAGTTCTACTATGTACATATTAATATTTTTTGTTGTGATAAGTATTAATCAAAGAAACTTTTATAAAATTCTTCCAATACCATATTGCCCACACATTCTAAAAGAAAATGTTCTCCATGTATATATAATATATTAAAAAAACGTAAAGTTGTTTAATATTTATTAATTAGCATTTACAGGGTGTCTACTCTCTGGAAAAATTCTGGGAGTTGTCAGGGATTTTTTCATTATAAAAAATTCAGGAATTCTCATGGAATTTTATTGAGACTCGGGAGATTTTTTCAAAAATTGTCTTTGTTAATTTTATTTAGGTATATATTGCAAGCGATCGATAACCTGCTGATTAGCCAGATAAGCAATCAATCACTTTTTTAGTAATCGTATGAATAAAAGATTAGAAAACGCATAGAATAAAAAGACTTAATTTCAAAAGCACCTACAATTTTATTTTATCTCAAATTTTAAACGAAGATTGGAAGACTTAGGAGAAGAGATTAGAGATTTTTTTACAAGATTCGAGTAGACACCCTAATTTATGAATTAATAAATATTTATATATAAATTTCTAATCGCGAATTTAAACGAAAATACTTGGAAGAAGATCAGGGATGTTTTTATAGAATTCGTAGACACCCTAATTGATTAATTAACAAATATTGATTTAGTTGAGCTATCTTTGCTCATTAAATGATTAAAGATAAATGTTGCTTTTACATCACATATAAATTTCTAATCGCGAGTAACGAACGGCTGAACGTTGATTTAGTCGACGATCGAGAATGTCAACGAGAGCTCCGTCGTTTCCCCGATCACGGATGACAGCGAACATTACGAGGCTGCTCGCGAGAAATTTTTGACGTGCGAGGATGTGTTAGACTTGGACGAGGAAAGGATCGCAGAGCAAGCGGAAGCGATCGAGTGCCGGTGTCAGCGACTCGGCGAAGCAGAAGACGAGCAGACGCCGCTGAGAGAGTTCCTGAAGAGAATGCGAGCTGAGGCGGGTCGTCTGGAAGCGATCTTCCGGGTACCTGGAATCGGTCCGCCGATATCGATCCAACGTGTAACCGCGGTCGGACTCTGGTTGACGGATTGCGCTCGTCGCCAGGAGGGTCTGGTCGGCCCGAGAAATATCCGTCACTTTCTCTGCCCGAATCTCGATGACGTCTCGGAGTGCGTCTGCACGTGAACGCGATACAAATGTGCAAAATGCACCTTGCACTTCCGTAGTTTGTTTTATAGTGCGAGAGATCTCGACATTCATCTCCGTAAACTTATTCAGCGAGGATTAGATTCGATATACGCAGAGAGAATTTTTCCTCTTAGAATTTTCACCCTGAAAATCACATGGTAATCGTGGGATAATATATGATTTTGAAAGAATTTTATCGGAATTTCTCGGACGATAAACAAATATTAATATGTACAGAATAAAATTAATTGAACATCTTTTATGGTAGGATGGATGTTAATATTTTGTGAGAAAAAATTGGAGAAAAATTTTAAGGGAAAATTCTCTCCGTGTAGCTTTATGAAACATTATGTGATCAATTTACTTTGTGGTCGCTATATCTTCGTTATTCTTCAATCATAGTAATCGCGTGTCGAAGAAGTAATAAATTCCATTCTTTACAATACTGATCTGATGATTAATGCATGCGCAAGTTTACTTGTATTCTATTATATTCCGTTTTGTTACATGGTCAGTCAATGTTACGATATGTTACGCAATAATAATTGCGATTGATTTATCATCCAATATGCTTGCAATTTAAACGTTATAATTTAAAACGACATGTGAAATAATATTTATCTCAATGACAATTGCTATTATTGCAAACAGATAAATAGAGCTTCTCGGGGATAGCTTGAAAAATTTAAACGACATCGAATCGTTGTTAACTTCCAGAGTCTAGTTGTCGCGTTTTTATTTTATTTACAAATAAATGTAATATCTACCACAAAAAGATATAAAATTTTACTATGTACATAGTAATAAACTAAATACTATATCTTATTATTATATTAATATATTGCTTTTTTTGGTAAATATTAATCAGAGAAACTTATAAAAAATTTTCGGAGTAAATTCTAAGAGGGAAACTTTCTTCGCGTAAAATTTAGCTTCTTCATCCAACAGCTGAAGTCGTCGATATTCTTTGACGAGTGTTTTGCGTCCGCAACTGTCAGAATTCCATTGTGCGTTTCGCCGATTCGTCGACTGCATCGCATCGACAACAACAACAACTTGGTAATCGATTATTGGTCAGGTTATTATTGGTATCACGGTTGCACAATATTGACGTATGCCCGGTCAGCTCCAGGGTTCATAACCTACTCGTTCACTACCCCGTGCACCCCATTCTCTCCCCCTCGATGGGATCTACTTTGATATCCGGCTATCACAATCCTCCGTGATCAAAACAAACAGTGTATCATTGAAAAAATTGTATTGTCATTTTGAGATTTAATTTTCCACTTGTTTGTACAATGCTCCGTTCTATCAAATCATTCTCTCTCATCCTCAGATGGAGGAACCCTCTAAAAATTGGTCGTACCATGTATTCCTTCTGAGTTTATAAAAATGTAGACGAAATGGGATTTTTATATTAGCAAATTCGAATTTTTTTATATATTCTGTATTTTAGTTTAAAAAAGGATAAACATATTATATAGGATATATCGAACAGGAAACACGAGATCTGGATTCTGAACGATTAAATTATGTTACTTGTTACTCGCGAATATTTTTAACAATAAGTCGCTCAAGTCTTTTTTTCGAGTCACTTATTAACCTCATCCATTCTTCCAATAAACTAAAATCAGTGACAAGTACTGCACTCTAAATTGCAATATTGTATAGATGAATATATACTTTGCTATAACAATGACCATATAATGCTGAATGAAAGATCCGCATAAAAGAAACATATCGACGTTTATTAACAAAGAATATATTTTTAGTATTAGAAAATGTTCCAGGAACACTGAAAAATATTCCAAATAAATCAAAAAGGCTTTGATATAGAAATACAAATTTAAGAATAAAAAGGGTGAATATAAAAAGCAGACAAATATTATTTTGTCAAAATTAGTGTAGAGAAATGTAATGAAAATAATTTTGTTGCATTTAATATCTGTATCTGGATCTTGTTAACTTTTTTTATACTTGAATTTGCATTTAAGAATATTTATTAAGAAGGATTTTATAATCCCCTTACTTTGAAACACCATTTTTTTTCAATATACACGACACCGAAGCATTTTATCGAATATGCGCCACATTTATTTTAAGAACGACGCTGAATGGGGATCGACATTTTCTCTCTCTCTCTCGAGTTTCGATCGTAGAAAAAGAATAAAAAAATCGCAAGATTTGGTGGACAAAGGACAGTGTTTTCCGAATGAGAGAGTGCACGTTCGAAATCCGCGTTTTACTCTGAAAGTTCGCGCCATTTCGAAAAATTCTCTATTATTCGTGCATCGCGCCGGGATATAAAACTCGAGATTTCTCATCCAGGGTGGAGGTAAAATTTTTGAAATGTTCTTGCTGATCCGAGGCCGCGGAATGAAATTCAGAATTTCTCACTCTCCTGAAAATCCTGCGCTCGCGGTCATTCGCGGGTCGAGAGTTCTCTGCGTCAGCGGTGAGCAAATCCCAGATTGCTATATTCGTCGGATAAACTAGATGGTCCCCCGTAATTCTTCACGCGGATATTGTACGGACCGAAACGAAGAAGATTACCGTAACAGTTGTTCCGGAACAAGAACCTCCCCATCGGTCTTCGTCGAGTATTATTACAAGACTAATTATCAGTGGTATCTAATTTCGCAGTTAATGATGACGTACGCGATCTTTTTTCCTTTCTAAGGGGATTTTAAATGCCGTCCTGTTTTTTATATAATTATGTTATTATTCATTTATTTTATAATTATATTATTTTTTAATTGAATTTTTATTATTTTTAATATAAAAAATAATAAAATTTTATTATTTTTAATATAAATTAAATAAAAAAAATTTATTATTCTAGTCAAACTAATAGAAAGAAAAATGATGTTTTACCGATAAAACAAGACGGCGTTTAGGGTTACTTTTAGTTGAAAAAAAATTCGATTCATCGACTTTTTTTTCACGGCGCTAAATTAAACCGGAAGCTTTATACGCGTCACTTGCCTTAGCGATATCGTCTTTTCGATATCACGTCACGTCGCATCTATTACGATAATCAACGGCGAGGACCCTCGATAACTCCTCTCCCTTCGGGGCTGTGTTATCTCGGCGCAGATTAATTCCGTCGCAGGAAACGCAAACGTTATCCGAACACATTAGTCGCCTCTTTCGTACGCCGGTCGTAATTCGAGCGATTAGATGGCTTAGAAACGAAATGGAGCGCACACGAGGACCGGTGGTGATCCTCTTTATATGCATGCATACGTACGGATTTATATATATATAAGGGGGAGCTTCTTTCGCTACCTTCGTTAAAATAGTGGAAATTCCCGTAGCGATGACTCCGACTATTGTCGCGTTGCTCTCGTTCCTCTCGTTGTCCCGGAGTTTTGTCCGAGGATGGCACGTCGCGTTTCCAAATGACGAGATTTTTGGCAACGATCTCTCCGAAACGATGTCTTCTCAGCCGGCCTTTATATTTCCAGGTAGGATTTATTCGTATATTGTTTATACGAATTATAAAATTGTTTTATAAAATTGTATAAAATTGTTTTATAAAATTGTTTTTGCAATATACAAATCGAGATAATCAATTTATATCGATAAAATAAATTGATATATCTATATAATAAATGATAGATAGTATAATAATAGTATAGCTGTATAGTAGAGTAATAAAAGCTTTATATTAAAAATAATAAAAATTTAATTTATAAATATATAATTACAAAATAAATGAATAATATAATAAAATAGATTAAATAAGTCGGGATGGCTGTTCCTTTTATAAAATTGTTATAAAATAAATAAACATATTTTATTTAAATGTAAGACCAATACAGATTAAATTGTACGACTATGGAATAGAAATGAAAATAAGAGATTCGCGTAATTTTTCTCTTTTATAAAACGTCATAATTCGACGTAGTTGCAACGATAATTCAAAAGAAATATAATTATTAGCGTAATTGAATAGTGAAAGAATGACTATCCTGAAGTCAAGATTGCATTCGGTTAGTCGAAGAAAATTTTTCATCTAACTTAATTGTAGTCAAGTGATGAACAAGATTCCATGATTCGTTTATCAGGGACAAAATGGTGCGGCAGTGGCAATATCGCGAACAACCCGGACGATCTTGGAATATTCGCAATGACCGATGCATGCTGCCGTGAACACGATAATTGCAAAGATGTAATCGAGTCGATGCAGACTAAATACGGTTTGACCAATACTGCACTTTATACAAGGTGAATTCTTCAATTAGACACTGCATCTCTTCATCAGCTTTCTTTTATTAGAATGACATATTATTGAAAAAAATTCTTAACTTGACTAAATCGTTCAATTACTATTTTGTTCGTTGAACATGTATTAATTTTTAATTAATTTAAATATTTCTATATGTTCAGTTAACAAAATAATAATAAATAATAAGTTAATAAATTTTTTCGGTGAAAATATTCCATATTAAACGATTTTCAATACCAGTTAAGAATTAGTAGAATTGAAATAATTGATGGGTCAGTTTCAAGGAAAATTAATTTTTTCATTGACACTATATCTCTTTATCAGCTTTCTTTTATTAGAATGGCATATTATTGAAAAAAATTATTAACTTGACTAAATCGTTCAATTACTATTTTGTTCGTTGAACATGTATTAATTTTTAATTAATTTAAGTTTTTCTATATGTTCAGTTAACAAAATAATATTTAATTGAACGATTTTCAATAGCAGTTAAGAATTTAGTAAAACCGAAATACAAACTAGGTCAGTTTCAAGGAAAATTAATTTTTTCATTGACACTAATTATTGCGCACATTTCTTTCGGGGAGGAAGTAGTCGAAGGGATTTATTAAAATAAATCTCGATTCGAGATTTATTTTAATTACTTAATATTACATCGAGAAAAAATTGTTCTCTCTTTATACAACTAATCCGTTTCAAGGAAAATTAATTTTCCTTGAAACTGACCCGCTAACATCCACTAGTTTTTCTAGCCCGTTGAAATTTCAATTTAATATTCAATAACATTTTATTCTATCTTCATCGCCAAGATGGATATTCGATTTGAAAGAATTAAAATTTAACGATACATCTCTATATTATATTTTATAAACTGACATATTTTTGTAATCATTTGCGAAAACATCAACTATTATGAAAGATTCGATGTATTGTATAATATAGCAGAAAGATTTGTTTATTTTTAATATCGATAAACAATGGAAGCGTATTGAAACATGTAGGTACAGAGAGATCGCAGGTAGATAGATATAGATATAGACTTGTTGAACGTGAAGCATCTCTGGGAAAAGAAAACAGGAAAACGAAAATTGAATATTGCAGCTTTTTTTTTAATTTACGAAATGGTGATTTTTCGTTCCCACACTAGTCCACGTTTCTGAATGTCATTTCGAAGCATGCAAGGAGAGAGAAAGAGAGCCTCGCTAGCAATTACAAAAGAAAGTCAATGAACTAGTTTACAATAGCAAGTCCTGTTGAGCGAGTTTCACGCAACTGGTGCAGTTTACCCAAGTTTCGTGCGTGTCTTGCTATAGTTACGGCTGACGTTTGATGTTGATATATGACGTCGTGCATTATCACAAACTTAGGTATATTAATTATATAGAGCAGTAATTTTCCTCCTGTGTGATGTACGGACAAAATGGAGAAAAATAATGTTTTTAAAAGCTCATTCCACTGTATATATGCGTATATTTGTATTTGTACATATATTAAAAGCACAACATTTCGTCGTAAAATTTGGAGAATTTCAAGCAGCTACATTCGATATTGAAATATTAAATGTGAAATGTAGTTTTATGGAAAAAAATATCAAAATGTTATATGACTCGTTCGCTGGAAAAAAATATATAGCGTAATGTTAATCGTAATAAAAGTTATTGCGTTGCTGAAAGAGACGAGAAGAAAAATACATATATTTTTAATATACGAAGAAAATATCGCGCGTATTTGTATAAATCTTGATTAATTTGCGTTCAAGAGGATTCAAAATAAAATGGAAGACTTAGGACGAGAGTGGACTCTCTAAGCTCTGTAATTTGTAAGTTACACTTTACACACGCGATTTTCTGAATTAAAGTGGATCTCGCTCTCGGTTCATGGCTCGTTCCACCATCTTGGATTATTTGCTGCAACATATACATTTGTTATTTCAATACAAATTCAGATGGGAAAGAAGCTAATATAAGAGACCGTCGAGCGTTTTGTTTTCATTACATTTCATATTTATTATTTTTCACTTATATTATTTTTATTTTAAATTCTTATTCTATTATTTTAATTTGATTATTGTAAACATTATTTTATTTCATTCACTCGTTAGTCCGAAAGGAATTTAATTTCTGAACCGAGTGTGTCTGTTTGGCGTTTATTCCGCGATGGATGATTGCGGGGAAAATAATAATTTTAAATTGAAACGAAGCGCGACGGTCGCATTTTTATGGCAGAGTAATCTGATAAAGCGTCGGGAAATGTGTAAAATCAGGCTGCACTGCTCCTGCGACGAGAGCTTCTACGACTGTCTCCATGGCTCGGAGGAACTCGTTAGCGCGAAGGTCGGCTTCCTCTACTTCAGCGTGTTAGACACGAAGTGCTTCCGCGAAGACTACCCCATCGTTGGCTGCAAACGGCATTCACTGTGAGTCGTAAGCGTATTAGAGAACTCGCTACCTGCTAACGCGATGAGTAGAGAGAAGAGAGTAGTCGCTCGCACTCTGCTCGACTTTCAAATGGGTCAGCCAGAGAGAGAGAATTTATCGATACTCTCCAGCGCAATCCGATTTTAATACATATGTACGTATGCGAGTATTCGCTTCAATTTTCCACGCATCACGCGATCATGTATTTATACATGGCGTGTGTAACGTCGATTGCGTGTATTTCGAAGAGTGGAGCTTTTTATACGCGCACATGTACACTTTTTTTAAGTTATTATTTTCGAAAATGTGACGTTTTTTTTTTTTTATCAATTTTTCGAAATTTTCTATAAATATTCTTTATAAATTCTTTATTCTGTTTCTCCAATCGTATTTTGTTATACACATTTTGAAAATCGCACCCGCGTGACGTAAATTATTTTTCACTCGAATCGTTGTCTCTATAATTCAATTGTTATTCATATTTGTATTTTGTACAAGGAGAGAATTTTGTCTTAGAATTTACCCTAAAAATCATGGTAATTGTGGAATAATAGCTCAAATTTTAAACGAAAATACTTGGAAGATCAGAGAATTTTTTTACAATATTTGAGTAGACACTCTAATTTATTAATTAATTTATTTTTTATATTATACAGTATGATATTGGAAAAATTTTGCAAGAGTTTCTCTAATTAATATTTACCACAATAAAAAATATTAATATCTACACAGTAAAATTAATCGAATACATTTTATATGTTATTGTGGTAGATATTAATATTTTTATTGTCATAAATATTAATCAGAGAAATTTTTATAAAATTCTTCCAATATTATATTGTCACGATCATTTTCAGGATAAATTCCAAAAGAAAATTCTCTCTGCATAAATATTTTATATAAATATAAAAATTCTATAAAATATTTAACAAAACATATACATACATATTATATCTAGATATATTTTTAATGGTATAAGAAAACTGTATCTTTCTTAAGAGAATTTTCTTTTAGAATTTATCCTGAAAATCATACTAATCATGGGACAATATTGAAATACGAATTTTATAAGAGCTTCTCTGAGATTAAATTATTTTTCCTTGTGCTAAATATTAAACAGAGAATAAAAGTCTCCCGACTACCATGATTTTCAGAGGAAATTACAAGAAAAAATTCTCTCCGTGTATATCCGTTTCGCTGTATCGAGAGAACACGTAAGAGCGTTTATTACAAAACGCAACCCCCTTCGCGGTATAGATAGAGTATACGATTGGAAAAAAAGAAGAAAAAAGCGCGGATTCATCTCGCGAGCGTTCGAAAATGTAAAAAAAATGACACGCTAACGATCTCTTGGCAGCATTCCTAGACGCTGTTTGGAGTACGAGCTGGACGAGAGCCAACCGAAGATGTATCAGTGGTTCGACGTCCCTACGTACTTCCAAAACGACCATCATCGTTCGATGCTGGTCGATCGTCATATTCAATCGGACCGATAGAAATCGAAGGAGGGAGGTCTATTTTCGCGGGATCATCTCGGAGGAAAATGTCGCACGTGTGTAGTGCAAATTATTATCGGATCGAGCGTATATATCTGTCAACGTGTAGTTGAATAAACGCCAATAAAATCACTTTTACGACCGCTCTATCTCATCTTTTTTCCCCCGTCTCGCTCGCCCTCGAAAAACGCGAAATTATTCGGGATGAACGATCCGCGAAAGTGGAAATTGCGAGGATCCATTAAAATGCGCGCCAATCGACTGGTAAATCGTAATAGTATATTGTGTATCAAGTGCGGAAAGTTGACAATTGGTCAACTCGCCTTCGGCTCGTGCGTCCATCTCCCGCACTCGTGACCAATTGTCAATCCGCAAGTTATACACATACTATTTTGTATTACAAGTGCAGGCAAAGTGGCTTTGTGCGCGTTTTCTGTGCGCGAGGTGGCCGATCGCACGCCGCCATCTTGCGGCGGCACGGTGCGGGAATAGCCGTGTTCAAAGTCATTGTCCACGGCTGAAGCCTTGGGCAATGGCTTTGAATGCGGCTTATTTACTCACCGCTAGATGGCGGCGTTGGAAATCGGCCGCTTTTCGCACAGAAAACACGCACACAAAGTGCCACTTTGGCTGCACGTGTAATACAAAAGTATTTAATTTTCATGGTTTCGATTTTCACATTGGCGGATATATGTATACATATATGGTAGAATTGTAAAGTACTCCGCAGGATGAAATTGAAATATTTAGTGACTGAGAAAAGGAAGGAAAAAGAACATCGCACGCGTCGAAGAGTACACTCGGTCATCCGATTAAGATTGACAAATAACATCGCATTTTCCTCTCTTCATATATAATATCATCGCGATATTATACTATACATTTCCAGCATCATCTCGCTGCACTTCGCACGACTGGTTGCACAATGTAACGGGCAATAAGTTCCGTTGGAAGCCTCACTAAATCATTTCGCTGTAATCGCCTGTTATCGTATCAGAAAAACAGAAGCTGAAATAGAGGCTAAGTTAGCACACGCGGAAGAAGCGAGAGAGGGTTGGTCCAAGAGAAGGCGGGAGATAAGCGATGAGGGTCGAATCGCGAGGGGTTTGCCTCTCTCTCTCTCTCTCTCTCTCTCTCTCTTCCTCTTCTCGCTTTTCCAAGGATTTCACCCCATTTTACGCGAGGCCGGTGCGGGCAGCTGGCGCTTACTCCGGGATTTGCTCGGGAAATTTATGTTCGGATGGAGCGCAGCCGCCGTCCTCTTCCACCCCTTTTCCACCCCCTTTCTTGCCCCTCCTCGCCGATTTACAACTTCTCCTCTCACCTGGACCAACTTTCGGATGCGCGTGTAAGCCAACTTTCCCGGCGCGACTCCATTCTTCCTCGCGTCTTGTACCACATCGACGCGGATAGGAAAAATTGTCGACTTTGCGTTGCGCCGATGATTTATCGCTCCCGTCGAGGTGCTGCTATATATGTACACTTACTCCGACTTACTAATACGTAATATGAGAGAATGTTCCCTTCTCTTGGAATTCTCTTATTATTATACCCTGAAAATTATGCTAATCGTGGAGCAATACTGGGAGAATTTGATCAAAGTTTCTCTCTCGTTCGGAATAAAAAGTATTCATATTTATCACATAAAATTTAAAATTAATCGAATATGTGTATTTTATATCTTATTGTGGTAAATATTAATATGTTTTACTTCAACACCATATTGTCTCACGATTACCATGATTTTTCGAATAAATTTTGAGAGAAAATTCTCTCTGTGTAAGAGCTTGAGATGCGAGAATTAAAATTGGAGAACGATGAAGAAACGAGAAATAAAATATATCCGGAAATTATTTGGAAGAAAATTATTGTCTGAAAAATATTGTAAAATTCTGGGAATATTTTATTCGTGTTCAAATAAGGATATTTATTAATGTTGAAACATTATATTTCGCATATTATTTATATAAAGAGCATTTAATTAATTTTGTATTTTGTTCCTCTTTCATTTTCCAATAATTCGTACTATTTTTATTACATTGTGGAATCAAATTATTTGAAATTAACGTCAGACAAACTTTATATAAGACGTATCTTTAATAAATCGGAGATTTTTTTAGGAATATAATTTATATACATATTTTAGACGATTTCACGTGATGTCAATTTGACGTACAAATCTATTTTATTTAACATCGAAACATTAATTTCAAGTTGCCTTCCAAATGTTTAGAACCAAGAGAGCTATATATATATATATATATATATATATAAAGTTCGTGGTGAGAAATATAATATATGTATAGGACGCTCTAAGCTCGGTTTAGCTACTTATGAATAAAGAGAGCAGGGAGATTTAAATTAATACAATGAAGATGACTTTAAATCTCTCTGTTTCTTCTATTTTTTCTTTCTTCCGTGAATATTATAAAAATAGAAAAAATAAATGATATTAATAAATGTCGCATAATTAAAGTAAAGATTATTTTTCTGAAATGTATACACACGCAAATGTGATTGAGAATTCGATCAATCACCCGTCGAAAGTTGCGAGAAAATTCGCGCTTTCCATCAACTCATCTCCGAGTCGTCGAGCATCGAGACGCGCCGATGCGACGCGACTAATTGCCCAAGCGAGCAATTCTAAAGTAAGCTCGAAACTCCTCTGACCGAGTTGTCTTTCTGTTTTCTTCAGACGTGGCGGCGTCGGTGGAGGTTCACTTCGAGAACAAGGACGGCGGATTCTTCCTGAAGCACACGCAGCGACAATACTATCCCGCCCGCGGCACGTCGGACTCCGTCCCGTCGACCACCAGCAACAACAACAACAGCAACAATAACAATAGTCCTGGGAGCGCGGTGCCGTCACCGCCACCGGGCTCCGTCCTCTCGATCGACAAATTCACCGTCTTCCAAACGAGCGAGCCGGTCTCGGTGCGGGCGACTTACGGGCCCTTCAGCACCAAGCAGACGGTCCCGGCGCGTTACATCGTTCCTGACCCTCTGGACGCTCTCCCGGCGATGCCGGAGACCCGGCGCAACCTCACGGCGGCGACGATCCTGGACGCGCAGGAGCTCGGAGCGCGTCACCTGGACATGTCGGCCCACCTGGTGGGCAACAGCGTGCCCCGGGACTCGCCCGTCCTCAGGGTGCTCTTCCACGCGGGCAGCGAGACCGGCGGGAGACGTCAACTGCTGATGGCGCGTCATCAGCGGGTCTGCGTGGTGTTGCACGCTAGTCTGGCCAGTCCGTCGAGAGGAAACGCCGCGAGCAGGAGCAGCAACGGACGCTACTCTTCCTCTTCCTCGTACTCCTCCTCTTCGTCGTCATCGTCATCGTCCTCTTCTTCTTCGTCTTCGTCATCCTCCGCGCTCACGGCCGCCTGCAGCCCGGACGGCGAGAACGGCGTGTGTCTGGCGCAAATAACCATCCCGGCTGATTGGTGGGCGCCCTTGCCGCCACCAGACGCCTCCGGTCGTGTCAAGGTCGCCAAGAGTCTGCCCCGGTTGATCCAGGTCGCCTACTCCGTCCTCGAACCTCGCACGGAGGAAGGTGGTATCGATAACGGCGGCGGCTCGGCCGACCCCACCGGATCGGGATTCTGCAGACCCAGGGTGCAGATCCAACCCGTCACTCCCCTGGGTCAAGTACCGCTCGCGCCGAACAAGGCCGATTACAAGGAGCTTAGGGCGGACGATCTGTTTACCCTCCTGGTGCCGCACGGCCCGCTCTATCCGAGATCCAGACTGCACGTTCCGGCGTTTCTGCATCCTGCGAAAGTCACCGAGTCCCGGCAGGATCGACTGCCATTAATCGTCGCTGTAATCCTGAGGTAAGTGATTAGCTTCATGGATTTTTTGGGAGAACATTTTCGAGCGCGCTGTTCAACAAATTCATCCAAAGGAGACTAGTTTTTTATTTTTTTGGGTGCTGAATCTGGTTTCCAAGTTGATTTATCACGCTAATTTTGAGGAATTTTGTGAATTAGTTATGCACTGAAACAAAATTATAAAGCAGTTATTTGATAGAAATGTTTATCTATTTTCAAAGGATTTTCTTATATCAAATAAGTATTTTTCACGTCAAATCAATGGTATTAATTTCAAATAAATAATTTATTAGGCGCTATTGAAATAAATATTTATTCGAATTTAATCATTTTTTTTAGTGTAAAAAAGGGCTTTTTTCACGAACTTTGTTATATTATAGCTACAATATGTGACGTGTTGGAAGAAGTTTTATATTGCAATCGATATAAAGTATGTTGTCACATGTAGTTAAAATATGACCAAGTTCGTGAAAAGATTTCTCAAAATTGTGACGTGATGGAGCAATTTCGAATTTGTATTCAGCAACTTGAAAAATTATAAAAACCGATTAACAGTGTAATCTTTGTTAAAAAAAAATTAAAAACTGTCCGGCATAATTACTTGTGTAATGATATGTCGATTCAAAATAAATTGGAAATAGAGAAAAATGGACAGATTCGTTAAAATGTTATAAGAAATTGAAGCGACTCATTTCGTTTGCTGTTATAAATTCATCTATTTCTAATAACGTCTCGAGGGAAATTTTAATCCACACATATTTCGATATAATAAATATTGAGTGAAATTTTTTTATTTCTCTCTATACTTTAATGAATTCAGAATTTATTGTTGAATGGAAATAAAAATATAATATATGCATTTTTCCAGATAGAAAAATGTAGCTTATTTTAAAAATTGATCAAATAATAACTATGAATTTTAAAAATTTCACGACAATAAACATGACTACTAAATACGACGTATAAATTATTTAACTTGTTTTTTGATATACATGAAATGGATAGATTCAATATTAAAGTATGCTCGCGGTATAAATTTTGAAGGAATCAACTCAACCTTCAGAATTCAAATCGAATAATAAATATTATTTACGCGACGAGGCGATAATTCTGTGCTTTCTATCATTAATTTTCACGTTGTTCTCTTTCTAAACTATTTTTATCGCGATATAAATAGACATCGAATCAAAGTTTATCGCAATATGATATTTTCGAAACATTAAACTCGCGCAATTTCGTATCGGAAATCACACACACGTGTCGATTGACGCGGGAAGTTTACAAATTTTCGCCAAATTATTCGGCGGAATATCGAATGAAGATTTAATATATAAATCCGCGTGTCGCGCAAATCCGCAGTTAATTAGCGAGCACAAACACGCTTATATACACACGAATGTCCAGTTTAACCGTTTCCGGACAAATAAGCGATTACATGCAAGAGACGCGACGTCGTTTCCGCCCGTTGAGATTCACTTTGTGCATTAACTTTTTTTTCCACCCCATGTGTATCTCGCGAGGAGCGTTTTAAACCCCCGTTTTAACCACCCTCTCTCTCGGACACGCGGTCGGAAAGTGGGTCGGAAACATCCCCTCGGGAGGAGCTGAAATCTCCTAATTGGATGAATTGTCAAGTAAGCCGGCGGGCAAAGTTACAAGCTCGTCTCTGTTGTTAGTAAGCACTTGGAAGTTTCGCGACGCGGAATGCGAAACAGAGGGAAGGAGAGACACTCGAGCGTGGTGGACCAGAGCAAAGCCAATCCGCGTGAGAACCGTCGTCGTCGGTTCTGTAACGCGCTCTTCAGGAATGCGGACCTGTGTGTGCTCCTAAAGAGATATTTTTCGCAGTCGATAATGTTCTTCCTCTGCACTTTGCGAACCAGATACGAGAGCTTTTTCCGCGGAATATAATGACGCGCATGGAAAGCAAATTCTTAACTTGGCTAAATCTTTCAACACTGCTGGAACATTTGGGTTTTTTGTTGTTAAAAACGGTCCCCTTGTTAACATTTTTCTGGTAAATATTTAATGCATTCGCGTGTTCGTTTAACATATTGTGTTAATTGAGCTTAAATGTTAAATTATTAAAACTGAAGAAAGGTGGAAAACTATAACATTATTAGTGACAAGATTTGTCTGTTATTTACAGGAAAAAATGTGGATTTTTTTATTTTATAATATAAGTGGAGATAATTTTTTTAATTACTTCAAGTTCTACATTTATTTTGTGTTAAAATATTATTAACACAGTATTTGTGTCTCTTTTTAACATATCCATATTATATTAAATAAACAGAAAAATTTCTGTGGTCCGTGTATTTGGAACATGCGATTTTTGTTAAATTTAACACAAATTTTTCAAGTGTGAACATATAAAACTATTTAAATTAAATATAATATATGAAATCTAACAAAACGTGGTGTTTGTGTTACATATGTTCGATTAATAAAATAATATTTACAACATATTTATTTGTTATATTTATTTGGGGAGTCGAATTATATGTATATTCTTAAAATAATATTTGGTTGAAAGGTTTAGTCAAGTTGACAATTTTTTTTCAGTGTACATACGATAAAGAACCGCGCGAAATCGTCAACATTTATTCATTTATAAAAGAATATACAACTTGTATAATTAACTAGATTTGTATAATTAATTAGGCGGTTGACCATTTTCAATGATTTAATGATAACGTTTCGAAGAGAATTTCAATTCGCATATTTTTTGACATACAATCTACATACATTGAATGCAATTTTTTATTTCTTTTTTTTTTTTTGCTGAATTCGAAATTTATTGTTGAAATATGTATACATGTTTTTCGCGATAATAATATAGTTTGTTTAAAATTTATGAATTCGCAAATAACTACGAATTTTTTAAGTTTTATGACATGCAACGTGACTGTTAAATATAATAAAACGTATAAATTATTTAATTCGCTTTTTCATATTACATACGATATTGGGAGATTTAATATTAGAGAATATGCTCGCTCTATAAATTCATAGGAAATCGAATTAATAATATAAAATTTTTAAATAACGATTATCTCAAAAATATTATTTTTTGTGATAACAATTCTATGCTTATATGAATATTTTCATAAAGCGTTCTCTGTTGAATTATTCCACTTCTTTATCGCTGCTCGAAATAGACATAAAGATGCTTGATGTAATATAATATTTTCGAAATATTACTCACGCAGTTTTGTTATTATTTTGCATCCTAATCGCCGAAGTATGACCCGTTTGTGCGATGAGATAACGCGGATATCGATAGTTGGAGGTCGCAGGTTATCGAGATCATCTGCAATATGCTGCGTTCGATTTTCAAACAAAAATAGCGTAGCTTGTTTACATACGCAGGAATTTGCGTAGATGATCGGCATATAGTCTTGTATTTTTAATTTTTATGCAAATTTAAATATTATTAAGAAGATACGATACATTTTCATCAAAGCTACGACAGCTATATCTTATATATGCATAAAGATAAATTTTATCTTCTTTTTTTCTATTTATTTTTTTCATATCGTCCATATAAATAGTTCTCGTAATCGGGAAAATTACGGAACTTTACTTACAGCGATATTTCTATTATATAAGTAATTTTTATCTTCGAATGTTTTTTAATGCAAATATCTTTCAAATATTTTACATGGCAAAAATAAGAGTTTATTATCTTTCAATTTTCATTGCTCAACATCGCTCTTTTGAATTTAAACTGTGAAAATGGGACACTATTTATACAAACTCTATATAATTCCAATATTCACTTTTTCAAAAATAAATATTTTATATTGAAGTATTAAATAATGGATGCTTTTAATTAAAAAAAATATCGTATTGCTCTAATAAAATATCGATTATTATATAATAGTATATTCACTGTCCTTTTATTTACGCAACGAATGTAATAGAAATTTGGAAAGGAAAGGATAAAAAGGCTCGTAATCCGAGAATACTCGTAAATACTTTAAACGCGTAACCACCCCAAGTAAGAGCCCTCGGGGGAAAAACGGTTCAGGAGGCAAGGCGAGCGAAAATTTCTTCACGCGTTAAAGAGCTTGCTGAGGGCTAATCGTAGCCCCTGTTCGTGTCAAGGGTGGTCGGGTTTTACGCCGCTTTTTTATGTCTCGCATCGCCTTAATCTAAGGCGGCTCTTACAGCGCCACGTTGGACTGTAGATTTTCCACGTGTCCGCCTCGCAAAAGCCGTACTTTATTTCGCCCACGAGTCTCTCTCTCTCTCTTTTCTTCACTATTTTATTGTTTCCGACTATCGCGAAAATTAAGAAACATACCAGTTTTTTAGACCATTAAAAATATATCTAGATATAGTATGTATGTATGTTTTGTTTAATATTTTTATAATTTTTATATTATATATTTATATAACATATTATACAGAGAGAATTTTCTCTTAGAATTTATCCTGAAAATCATGGTAATCGTGGGACAATATGCTATTGGAAGCATTTTATAAGAGTTTTTCTGATTAATATTTGCGACAATAAAAATATTAATATCTACCACAATAATATATAAAATGTGTTCGATTAATTTTGCTACGTACATATTAATATTTTTTATTGAGGTAAACATTTAATCACAGAGAAACTCATAAAATTCGTTCAATACCACATTGTCCTCACGATTAGCATGATTTTCGGGATAAATTCTAAAAAAATTCTCTTAAGAAAGATACCATTTTTTTATACCATTAAAAATATATCTATATAGATATAATATGTATGTATATATTTTGTTAAATATTTTATAGAATTTTTTATATTATATTTATATAAAATATTATACAGAGAGATTTTCCTCTTAGAATTTATCCTGAAAATCATGATAATCGTGGAACAATATGCTATTGGAAGCATTTTATAAGAGTTTTTCTGATTAATATTTGCGACAATAAAAATATTAATATCTACCACAATAACATATAAAATGTGTTCGATTAATTTTGCTATGTACATATTAATATTT